TCATCGACAACGTCTTGACAACACCCATTGCTGTATGACGTCAGAGGAGTGAAATTATCAGATTTATTTCATGAGAGAAATTATCGGTTTTTGTTTCACTTGGAAATCACGGTAGTTCATTACAACCAATGTAATAAATTTCAATACATGTCTGATGATTAATACATGTATGCTTGTAGTTTTCTATAAATTTTGAAAAATTTATTGATATCATCATTTTGACTTATAAATAACACAAATTGTATATTTCTTGTCTCATTTGTTAATCCTACACCAACTCAGCTTTTGTATTAGACTAGCTCTATAAATGCTTACAAATTGGAGACAACTCTTCAAACAGATTTAACATGAAAATATATAATAGCTAATTTGCGTTGTTGTTGTTGTTGTCGACACTATCCGTTTTCTATACCCCTTTAGTATCATCTACATAAAACTGAGTCCTGTAAAACTAAACAATTGTTCAAAAACAAAAGTTACCGTTGAGTAATTTTACTAATATTAAAGTTTATTCCCTCCTGGTTAACATGATGAAAGAAAGTGTTTATTCTGCTTTTTACTGTTTTATAGTCTCCAATTGTTTTAATCAATTTGGCTTTCGAAATTTGTAAAACAGCTTATGTCGATTAATAGAGAAAGCGATTGAATAATACTTTGGTGTTGCATAATTGAATGTGTGAGTTAAATACTTTTGAATGCAGCACCACAGCTAAATTTTTGTAACCGCTAAACATTCTTCCAATAGTTGAATTCAAAAGGCATCACTGATCTCATAATTTTTTTTCTTATCATAAATGTAGTCTATAAGCTACTACATCTTCAGTGTAACCAACACAATCGCTATATCAAAGTATGTATGACTTCAACTAAAACTAATTCGTCCATTAATTTGTAAAATTATATCAAATATGGTTGTTTCAGTAAAACAATTTGTAAGAGACATATAATCAACAGCAATATATTCCAAATGACATTTGTATTGATATACTTTTCACCTAGCAGATTGTTAATCGTTCTAGAAAGACGATAATATCAATAATACAAAAGACCTTAAGCTATTATGGAAATGCATAAATTGTATTGTATATTTTTTATTCGAAATACTCTTTACTAAGTAAACTCTTATAGATTGAACTCATTCTTCTTGTTTTCAGCGCAATCTTATATCGACAAGAGAATTGGAAATCTAAGACACACCAGGTTACTTTACATCGTTCATGTTTTCTGTATTTTTTTTTATCAACAATGTAATTATTCTTTAGGAGTGTAAGGGTTCCGTCAACATGCTTAGGTCCGATACTTTTATGTACTTTCTGCTGCCAAATGGAATTGTACAGAAGCCCATTAAAAGTTGAAAACGTTACTTTATATATTTAAAATGTTTCTATGAATGAAAAAAAGAATAAAACAATGAAAATATTAATACATCGCACATATTTTCTGTATTTGTTTTATCAACAATGTAATTATTCTTTAGGAGTGTAAGGATTCCGTCAACATGCTTGGGTCCGTTACTTTTATGTACTTTCTGCTGCCAAATGGAATTGTACAGAAGCCCATTAAAAGTTGAAAACGTTACTTTATATATTTAAAATGTTTCTATGAATGAAAAAAAGAATAAAACAATGAAAATATTAATACATCTCTCATATTTTCTGTATTTGTTTTATCAACAATGTAATCATTCTTTAAGAGTGTAAGGAGTTCCTTCAACATGCCTAGGTCCGTTACTTTTATGTACTTTCTGCTGCCAAATGGAATTGTACAGAAGTCCATGAAAAGTTGAAAACGTTGCTTTACATATTTAAATGTTTCTATGAATGAAAAAAAAATATTGTTCAATGACGATAACTTGACAGTGCTTCACTGGATAAGATTTTTAGTATTATTGATTTGCTTAATCTTCTTGCGACGATGAAATGAGTTGTACCTTGACATAATTATTCAAATGACAGACATATAGACAATTTTTAATCTATATAAAAATGTATTTAAAGAGTAAATATTTTCATTGTTTTAATTGACCTATATTTCTATATTTGATATGTGTCAAGAATAAATAAACATGTTATCAAATGAGATTAACTTATTTGGTCCAATTGAAATAAATACCTTGTATACAAGATGTTTACATTTTCGGGACTGAGTAGGTTTCTTGTTTCATGCTTTGCTCTGTGTGTTTGTTTTCCTTTTTGTGTACACCACTTCCTAGTAATTTTGGTATTTAATCTAACCATGAAAAAGTACTCATTCAAAATGTATATACTTACAATTCCAATTTTAAGCTACATCGAGACTGTCAAGACAGTTGATTTTTATCGTCATATAACGTATCTAGAAAGAAAAGTACAAGACGTTTCGTTCTTAGAGTAAAATGTTAGAGATAGCCGTTTTATACCTTTGAATTAACTTTATTATTATAGCTTAATGTAAGTCGAAGTGGCAATAGTAAAGGTACAAAAGTCCACCAATGTGTGAAGAGTTAATTATGTCTCGATTTAATGATTTTGAACATCAAGCACAACATTATTTCGGGGGAGACAATTTTCGTGACGAAAATGTGCGATATATTAAGCGGACAATAAATAAAATGAAATCGACCAAATAAAAGAGGGATTTATACTTCAATATTGCTTTAACATACTAGTACATGAAAATAAATGAGGTTTCATCGACTTTGTGTAATTTTGGATTTTTTTTTTTGTGAAAGGCGTGATTTTATGTTCTTATCTTAGTCTATTCTATTACTGTTATACTCCATGTTGTTGTTGGTACGAAACATGTAAGAAAATCTCTATTTATGCCCCCCTCTCTCTCTCTCTCTCTCTCTCTCTCTCTCTCTCTCTCTCTCTCTCTCTGTGTTTGTCTTCAGTACTTTTAAAAACTTTTCATAGAGTTGTAAAGGTTGCAATCACTTAGTAAATGAATACCACATTTTCATGTAATGCACATGAACGTGTATACTTTCGGCAATGAGAACAATGCAGAGAACGGCTAAGATGTCCTATACAGAATTTAATCATATGCATTGAATGCAGCACAACAGATACATTTTGATAACAGCTCAAATTCTTAAGTTGAAAATAAAAGGTGTTGCTTAAAATGTATCTCATAATTTTTTGCGATAACAAACTCAGTCAATAAACTACATCTTCAGTGAAATAGTATTATTGCTTGATCAACGTACGTAGGACTTCAATTAAAACTAACTCACTGATTAATTTGTAATGTCAAACATGGCAGTTTCAGTTTAAAGCTTTGTTAGAGACTTATAATCATCCGAATGTTTTTGGAAACGGCATTTGTATTGATATATTTTGCACAGATGGTAAATCGTTCTAGAAAGACGTTAATATCAATAATACAAAAGACCTTAAGCTATTATGGAAATGCATTAATTTTATTATATATTTATTTATTCGAAATCAACTTAACTAGGTAAGCTCTTATAGATTTATCTCATTGTAATAGCTTGTTGCGTGATCTCGCTAATAATTCGTCAATATCACATTTCTCCTGTGGTAAAAATCATGAATCAAATACCGACAAGAGAATTAGAAACCTAAGACACTCCAGGTTATTTTACATCTATTATATTTTTGTACATGTTTATCCACAATGTAATTACTTCTGTAGGAGTCTAATGAGTTCCTTCTGCAGGACCAAGTTCCGTTACTTTTATGTGCTTGCTATCGTCACTTGTGTTGTCAAATAGATTTGTACGGAAGCACATGCGAACGTTATCTTATATATTTGAAATGACACTATTAATGAAGAAAATAAGCTTTTTCAATGACGATCAAACAATGTAGCTTGACATTGCTTGACTGGTTTAAGATTTTGAAAATGATTGGTTTGTTTCGTCCTCGTCAGAGGATGGGACGAGTTAAACCTTGACATAATTATTTCAATGACAGACAAATGAACATTTAATCAGTGTACAGTTTATCTAAAGACTTAATATTGTTATTGTTTACTGACCTATATATCTATATATGATTTGATATGTGTCAAGAGTAAACAAACGAGTAATCAAATGAGATTAACTTATCTGGTCCAATTGATTTGAAATATAAATATAAGATGTTTACATTTTCAGCACTGAAGAGTCGTGATTTTTCGTTTATTTGTTTTCCTTTTTGTGTATATCACTTCTTAGAAATTCTGAATTCAGTTGAATAAAATTTAACCATAAAAATCACTCTTTTTAAATGTATATGAATTTTCATATTCTAACGTAATAGCCCAACCAAACTCTTATTTTATTTCATACAATATCAAGTGTAAGCTACATCGAGATTGTCAAGACAGTTGGTTATTATCGAGACGTAACCTATCTAGATAGAATAGAACGAGATGTTTCGTACTCATGGTCAAATTTAGTAGAAAACCTTTTTTATACCTTTGTATTAACTCTATAATAGCCTAAAGCTTTAATTTATCGTCGGCATCAGACTTAAGTCGAAGAGGCAATAGTAAAAGTATGAAAGTTCACCTACGTGTGATAAGTAAATCCTGACTGTTGATCTAGCGATTTTGAACATAAAGCACAATATTTGGCGCGTGCGTGACAATTTTATCGACGAAGATACGCGAGATATTAAGCGGACAAAAAAATGTAATAGAACACATAAAACAGTGATATACTTTAATATTACTTTAAATACACGTAATAGTATATTAAAATAAGTGAAATTTCATCGACTTGTGCAAGATTTTAGTATTATTTTCAAAATTTTACCTATCATAAACAAGACATTTTGCTTTTTGCACGTCATATCTCCGTTTTTGACTATACGTTCTTAACTTAGTCTATTCTATTACTGGTATACTCCATGCTTTTGAAGGTACAAAACATATATGAAAATATCTGTTAACTCTCTCTCTCTCTCTCTCTCTCTCTCTCTCTCTCTCTCTCTGTTCGTAAAGTATCTTGCAGGTAAATTGACTTTTGATATGGTATTTAACTACCATTCATTTAATTTTCTTTATCTTTCCAGAGACCTTAGTATGAACAACATGACTAGCTTTCCTGACAACGCCTTTTTAAAGTTCAGAAAGTTAGAAGAATTGTAAGTATATTTTTCCTGATCTCTATAGCTATTTGTCATCTGTTTGAGTCAGTTGCCTGCCTTTCGTTAAGTTCATACTCTCTTCTCTAAATATGGACTGTCTATGAACCAAACCTAAGAAATAATATATAGAAAGTTGTGCACGAAAATTGCCTATTTTGTTTAAGTTTAGCCAAAAATATCACTAGAGGCAATTCTTGATTCAACTGGTCTGTGACACAAGTAAGTGAAATACGATTCCGATTGTCTCTTTACCGATTAGTTATTTCGTTTGCGGAGGGTCAGCATACACATCGGGAAAGATGCATCATAAAATTCTAAAGAACTCAAAATGAAAGTAACATCTTCTAAAACTGTTAACGATTAACTGTAACGCGCCAAATATACCCAACATTTTTGCTTGTACTGAATTTCATGTTTTTGAATGAGTTGTTCTGTATATTTTCAGTAGTGTTATTACCTTTGCTAATTGATTAATACGATAAGGGGCTTGGAAATGGATATACGAATGCGGAACGACTGAAACTAACGTTAACATACCTAAACAACATTTTATTTATTACAAGGACAATTTTTTAAAAATAGCTTTGATTTTCACACAATAAAACTATTGCTTTTTCATGTTAAGGCATTTTATACACAAACAAAGCTTTTCACAAAACATTATATACATACGTTCTTTGGGGTTACACTGTGTTAGGATCAAATTAGAATAACAATTTAAAAATCCGAATCGGTTTTCTGGATTTACCTTTACAAGGAACGCTAAAACCCAAGCATTTCAAAAGCAGGAATGTATAAATGCATAGAAACAGTCGTAACTGTATGCCCAAAACAAAAAAAGACTCGATTTATCTTTTTACAGCATTTCATTGCGTGGAAAATAAGACTCATTGGTATCATTGGACAAGTGAATAGTCCTATTGGTATTTCTTTATTTCAGGCGACTTGCAGGGAACAAATTAACAGACATTCCACCTAAAGCTTTTCAGGATCTTTACTTCTTAAAAGTTATGTGAGTATTCATATTTCAGATTAAATCTATTGACAATTGAAAACGCGCACTTTTATTGTAGCAAAATATATCCGTTTCAATCTTTAAAGGGTTCAGGAAAAGTCATAAAGTTTGATTTACAGATGTTTTTTTCTAAAATGGCAAGAATTCCAAACTATTGGATATAATCATACTTTGGAAAAGTGTTTGTCTTGATTTTTTCTAAAGTCCTACAAGTTTCATAAGCGTTTTTTTTCAGTTTTGCTTGGTAAAACGATGTAACCAGACCTCAAAATGTGTTTCGTATTAACCATGACATCAGCGTTAGACTTAGGAAATACATGTATATTAAATTTAGCATATCCATATAAAGTACTATTTTTAATCTTTATAGTGGGGAAGACAGTCTTCGACAACAAGCGACACCGTAATCTTAACTGTTTATAAAAATATGAAATTCACATTTTTGAAAAACTTGGAAAAAACAGCTTATGACAAATTAAACTAAATGACTCTTAGAGATCCGTGATATTCAAAAGTGAAATAGCAAAAATACCGAACTCCAAGAAAAATTCAAAACGGAAATTCCCTTATCAAATGGCAAAGTCAAAAGCTCAAACACATCAAACGAATGGAAAACAACTGTCATATTCCTGACTTGATACAGGCATTTCCTTATCTAGAAAACACAAACAAATAAATGCAAAAATAGGAATACCAATAATGTATCTACATATCCTTTTAAACGAATTTTGATGTCTAATTCGATCATTTCCTAGTACAATTTGATGGAAGATTAATAGTAACTTAATTTCCGATTAACTGATATGTCAAGGGAGAGAACGACATTAAAGAAAATTATCGCAGACAGCAATGGTATCCTGAAGAAGTCAATTAAACAACAATTGTATGTGTTCTTAAGATCAAATAGAACACACGCACTTCGAAATTCTTTGAAACATGCAACCATAAAATTGTAGCTGCATATTACTATATTCAAAGTCCTTGTAAATCAATATTCTTACAAAAGTTTTACTGCAAGAAAGTACAGTCTTCATGTTTACGAATGAAGCTTAACACAAATTTCAACTTACCATAAATATCATGACGTTGTCACATGCGGAACAGGATATAGTTACCCTTTTGTGAGCACCTTATATCATCTCCGGTTTTTTCTAAGTGCTCGTGTTGCTCAGTCTTTAGTTTTTAATGTAGTTTTTTTAGACCGTTGTTTGTCTTTTCTTCGTTTTTTTCCCATGATTTTTTTCGGTCTCTTTTCGACTTATGAATTTTGATACTCCCTGTATATTTCTCGCCTCTTTTTACCTTAATGAAATTGAGTATCATTTAACATAGTTGACTGATTCAAAAATTCAAAGAATTCAGATCTTGGAGCCAACAAATACCAAACACATATTCAGTCAACCATAAAGCAAACGTTCTTTGCTATATTTGTTGTCCGTCTTAAAAATTATTGTAAGAAATTCATCAATATGATTATATGAAAATGTAAGATTCTTTTATAAAAATTAATTTGCATGTCTATTATTTCTACAAAGAGAAAAGGTAAATTTTAACATTCAACTCGGTAATGTTCCAGTATAGAAATAACACATAGCTGAGAGGGTGATAGAGCAGATTGTTACCCCGAGAAAATATTGTCAACTGAGGCGAAGCCAAGTTTGACAATGTCTTTTCGAGGGGTAACAATCTGCTCTATCACCCTCTCAGATATGTGTTATTTGATTTATTATACTAAAATGTTCAGTTATTACTGTCTATCAAATTCCAAATTCAAAGTAATAAACTATGATGTGTTGTACATAACAATCATCCATATTTTTTAAGACGCACACTTGATCAAGCGTCTCAGTGAATGGTAATAAAGTATTGCCATGAGAAAGAGTATATAAATTATATACCTCATATTAACCAATCAAAATCTGGCGTTTTGCCATGAAGTATAATGATTATAATTATTATATTATTTGCGAGATATGACTTGAATGAAATGTCGTAAAAATTAATCATATGTACTGTATAAAAGTATCATTTCTTTTGTAGAAACCTTCAACATAATTCATTCACAAAAGTTCCCGCCTATACATTTCAAAACCTGTCATATCTTAGAGAACTGTAAGTACTTTGATATTTAAAGCAAAAAGTACAAACTCAGAAATAAGGAATTTAGTTAAATTTTCGGAAGCTGGTATTGTTAAAAATGCATATTTATCTTAAATAATATATGTCAAAGTCTTATACAAATCAAGCAAAGATATGTGGTCATATGACTTCGTCTATCTAGTTTTTATTATAAAAAAAAAAAAACAAAATCAAACAAACTACGTTTTAAAAATCTATTTTAAAATCTTTTTGCCTTATATTAGCATAGTGTGTACATATAATTAAACGCATTTTACGTCAATCAATAAATATTAATAATTATTGATAAGTATTTACAATGGCTTTCTATTCTGCAGAGATCTTGATGCCAATTATATAGAAGATGTACCAGACGAAGCTTTTAAGCGTTGTAGGAGTTTACAGTTGCTTCAATTGGATGCAAACCAATTGACCAAAGTCCCAACAAAGGCCCTACAGTATCTAAAATCTCTTCATGCTTTGTAAGTCTTCATGTCTAAGATATTAGAATTGCAATAGTTATCAAAATATTGGTATGGATACCTTTGGGCCAAGTCGATAAGTAAAAACAATTGTATTTGGTGTTCAGTTGTGATAGTTCAAAATTTAATCCGTTTTTCTAAACTGATAACGTGATAATTAGCTAGTGTGTATAGTAAATAAACCATAGATACCAGGATTGAAATTTTGTATTTGCGCCGGACGCGCGTTTCGTCTAAAAAAGACTCATCAGTGACGCTCGAATCAAAAAATGTTTAAAAGGGCAAATAAAGTACGAAGTTGAAAAGCATTGAGGACCAACAATTCCTAAAAGCTTTACCAAATACAGCTACGGTAATCTATCCCTGAAGAAGAAAAGCTTAAGTATTTCAAAAATTCAGAGTAAAGCGTTTTCTTAAGCACGAAAGACTTTTATGGATATTCTGTTTTTAAATTTTTTTATTTTCATTTTGACATTTCTTACCTCAAACTTCACATTTCTCACTGATACTTGTCATTTTTCAGTTCCAAGTTGGCATTTCTCAGTTCCATCTTCTTGGAATTTCACAGTTCCAAGTTGGAAGTGAGAATTGTAAACTTGGAAGTGCGAAATGTCAACTTGGAACTGAGAAAAGTCAAGTTAAAAATCAGAAATGTCAAGTTAGAAATCAGAAATGTTATCAACAATATGTACTTTACGTCTTTCGTGCTTAAACCGAAGGGAAAACTGTTATTGTCAATCATCTAATGTAGTTTTATGTTTGTCTGTTCTTATTGCTTTTTTTAGAGACCTCTCAGTGAATAAATTGACGAACATTCCAGATTATGCATTCAGAAACTTAACCAATTTGATTGAATTGTAAGTATCATTGATTGAAGATCAGGACAATTTGGTTCAAATCAAATTTGTTTTTAAAGGCTACATGTGTTAGTCACTTATATGAGATGTCAACATTAGCATAAATTAAAGTGTTCCATCAAATCCTATTGGATCGGGTTTTCCATTGATTTTTAGTATTGAAATCATATAAAGCTACAAAAAAGATTTTTTAACATTTTGTTTGTGTTAAGAAAAGTTATCCGATTTGAATACTATGTGTTCAACCCTGCACTCGTAGTCAATATTTCCTATGGCTAAATGTGACTGAAATCCAAACAATAAAAGTGTCATCTTTTTGACCAAATTCTCTGAAAATAGAGATTTTGGTCAACGTTGACAATTCTATCGTTTTAATTTCAGTCACATTTAGCTCTAGGAAATAGTTGGCCGATATGTAATGAAAATGTTAATTCACCATGGAAAAATGACGCCTTATAAGTAATATTCAGAAAAAATATGTTATCAAATTATGGTCAACTAAAAAAGATACTTCAAAGGTGATAATACAGTTACTATTTTCTAATTAACTGTTTATTCGCGAAAATAGATTACGGCAAAGTTAATAGAAATAACTAGTCTGAAAATACATTCATTGAAAATAAATCGGTTAAGCTGTCATTAATCAGTAGAAAATCGTGAATTCATGATTGATATTGTATTGTGACGTGACTTTCCCTAAATACTCTTGCACTTTCATACACAACATCATTGTTTTTCAATATAATTGTGTGTAATCAATCAGTCTGCATTGTTTTTAGAATACTTCACGAGAACAAAATAGAAGAAATCAGTGACCACGCATTTGAAGGATTGACTTCCTTATCGCGATTGTAAGTTTATAGTGATATATTCCTGTCAAAGAAATTCCAAAAACCAGACTCATCCGGGATAAAAAAATAGATGAGCAAACAAACACAAACAACAACAAACATCACATGGTCCTTGATAGCCTGACTTACTACAGGTACACAATCTTTGTAATTATATGAACTAGTTGCACTAATTTTTAAAAACATCCAAACAATGAGTTGAAAATTTTACACAAGATACATCTTAATCTTAGATATAATAAATATATGTTTATTTGATATATATTCTTAAATTCCTTAAATGTTATGTACTAAACGTACTTTGTAATAAAAGCGGAAACTTCAGGTACAGTCGAAATTAACAACAAAAAACACCATTACTTCAAGGGAAAACTAGATGAAATAACAAGTTATTGTCTAAAAACACTACACATAACACTACAGATTGATAGGGGTTTACCATTTAATGTTTGAATGAACCTTGAGTGACATGAACCGAGTCTCCTGTTCCATGGCACTAATGGCAACCGCCATATTGACAAGTGCAATCTGGTGAATTGTTCCATGATAATAATGGCACCCGCCATATTGACAAGTGCAATCTGATGATAAGTATATCTCGCAGAAATTCGCCATAAACGAGAAATGGAAAAAACGAACATGAAAATTAGACCACAATAGCAGATTTGTAGGAATACTTTATAACAACATACAAACTTGCATTATCAAATCTGCCAAATATTTCGTTATATTGTCTATAATGGACATAACTGTGAAAAAAGTATTTTATACATTTATTTGCAATTATTAATGTAATTGATGAATTATCTTGTATATAACAAATGTGGCATCGTATCATTAACCATAAAAACAACTTAAACTGATATAACCTGTTTATTTTCCAATTTTATTTCAGAGAACTGCCAATGAATAACCTGCGCAAAATACCAGCTGCCTTTATATCTCTTAAAGATTTAGAAAAATTGTAAGTAGAAAGATTGTACCGACACTGGCTTGTAGCTGGTAACATGCATGGATTTTTAAGAGGGGATGAATGTTTCAAAAATATGTAGGGTTATATAAATAACTGTTCCGATTAGTTAAAAATGTTTTCTTGAGTTAGACGGGTATTTTTATCTTATTCTATTTTTTTGTAGGGGGATTGTTAATGCTTTAGAATTTCCAACATTTTGGTTAAGAGCAAGTAACATGAAATAAATGAAAATAAAGTGCATCAAATTTATTTTGGTATTTTGTAAATCGATAGTATATACATTTACTACCAATTCAGAAATGCATACAGTATTTCCCCCGTTTCTTCTTGATTTAGTGATTAAAGCAAATTGACAAAAGTAATAAGAGCTAGATTAATAAAATTCTTCAGTAAATAAATAGACATCTAATGAATATGTTGCATTCCTCGTATAACGGAACAACCCCAGCTGCTTGTTTTGTTTAAATAAAACCAAACACTATGCCATTAGTATGCAAACCATGTTTCATGCAACAGATTTTTTTTTTAATCAGTTTAAAATACATTTTCAGGTCATTAGAGGATAACAGAATAGATTTTATACCGGATAATAGTTTTGCTGGAAATAAGAAATTGGAAATTCTTAAATTGCGAAGAAATCCTATCAGATCGTTCGGAACTAAAGCTTTTAAAGAACTTCCGAATTTAAAGGAATTGTGAGTAAATTTTCTTAACTGACATTAATACTTAACTTGATTTCCTTTTCTTTTCAATTTATGTAAAAGAGCATAATATAGGGGAATGCAGTGAATGATGGATGTTTACAGAGAACAGGAAATACATTGTAAAACACGTAAATATCACCAGCACTTCTGTGTTGACATGAATTATCATTGATATGGTCATAGTTATAAATTTGCAGTTTACAATATTTTGAATATTTCGAAGTACTAAGAATTTTCTACCCCTTGAATAAATTGCCTTGGCTGTATTTGTCTAACCGTTTCGGAATTTTGGGTTTTTGATGTTCTTCAATTTCGTACCTTATTTTGACGTTTTAATATTATTTATTTGAGCGTGAATGATGAGTCATTTGTAGAAGAAAAGCGCGTGTGGCATACACATTTTTAATGTAGGCATATATGATGAGTTTGTTTATAAATGATAAAGGTCGTAATTCTTTTTAATTGGTACACTATGCCCATCTTATCATCTATCATATGTTACATTACATCAGAAACATTTCATGTAATTCCTTCGAAGTGTCCAGTATATTTTTTTTTATTGCTTTACATGTAGCTGTTTAAAACTTCAATTATGCAGGTGGGACCTACTAGATAAATTCAATGTCACATCAAATTACAATTGCTTAAGTTTTAATTTATTGATATAATGGCTGAACAACTGTGCGAATAGCTCTTGGTAAAAACTATGAACTAACTGAAATTTTAGTCATTTTCAGGAACAGGAAATATGAAGCAATGAAATACAGAATTTTGTTGGAAAATATGATTTATAAAATAGAATACAATAACATGTAACGAATAATGATTGTTTTGTGTTCTTTACTCTCAGTGTTATTTAGAACAGTTTCTTTTCTTTGCGGGGGAAAGGAGGGGGTCGAGCATTTTTCCCCAAAGCTTGACGTGGTGTGACGTTGCTTCAAAATGATCCTTTCGAGTGATGATCAACTTTGATGACCATACCATGCGTTATTCACTATATTTGAAATCCAATGTTTCACATTTATTTAACACAGGATATATCACAACATTAATGAAGGAGAGACCTGTGTTTTAGTCAGCTAAAACTGTTGTTGTTCTTCAAGATTTGTAATGACCTTACTTTAAGTTGCTGACATTAAAAGATTTTGATACATTATTTTATAGGATTATTTCGGAAGCCAGAGATATGACAGAGTTTCCCGATTTATCTGGAAGTGTTAGTTTAAGAGAATTACAGTTCGACAGAAGCAGCATATCGAAAATTCCTGATAATTTTTGTGACATGGTGCCTGAAATTCAAAGGCTGTAAGTATTTCATTAATTGATTAAGATCTAAAGATATGTCACATAATTATCTTATTTTCAAACAAGAACTTCGTTATAACAGTTGAATGAATGAATGGTCTAAGATCATTGTTTTCAAAATTATTGGTTGATTGATTATTGGTGTTTAACGCCACGTTCAGCACTATTGGCTATTTTGTGGCGATCAGCTTTTATTGGTTGAGGAAGCCGGACAGAATCACCAACCTTCGTTAGTGATAGGTAGTTGAACAACCTAGACCACACGGCTACCGAGACACCTCTATTCAAAATGAAAATGAAAGGTCTATTATATCATATCAGATGCCCTGCCATTTTGTTATGTTAATACAGCATCTATCGTTACCTTCTAGAAGTACACCAGGATATGAATCGACCGAGTGAAAGCAATTTACTGCATAAACATGTAAGAACTATGTGCAATAAATAAATTAACGAGTTATAGTCCGGCAGATTGGTGGAAAAATTGTGGGTTTGATGATAAAAGCGCCAAATTTGGTATGGTAGTAGTTTTAGGTGTTTAAAAATAAAATAGCTATGGACCCACCTTGCAATTTCAATTTGGCAGCTTTTTTCAAGATGGCCGCCATAAAATATCAAAATCAACATATATCACTTATATAAGGTCAAATTTGGCATGACAGTACTGCGGGATGCTTCGAAAAATATAAGCTATGGAGCCACCTTGAAATTTCAATATGGCGGCTTTTTCAAGATGGCCGTCCCAAAATATCCAAATCAACAAATACATATCTAAAGTAAATGAAAATAACACTTTATGGTTTTGTTGCTTCCGAAGAGCTTTTCTGGATCTTCCGCTTTTCATCAAGAACACTCAAACTCAAACATTTGAAAGCAAAAAATGAATAAATACCCGGATACATGAGGAGCTATATGAGTAATAGGGACCTAAAAAGACTAGCAAAATTCATCTGAAATCAACTTTGTATAAGGGCGTTGGAACCTTTTTTTCTTAATAATTTCTTTATCAAATATAATGTGCATTGTATTTACTACTTTTTTACAGCGATCTACATACCAACAAGTTATCAGAGTTGCCTGTTTTAAGTGGGTGTTTGAATCTTAAATTGTTGTAAGTAGGCAGGTCTTACCTCTTTAGTAATGTTTTTTATCGGGTTTTTGCTGAATGAACATTTCAAATACAAACAAAAAAGTGTATATTTCATTGATGCAGCAACTCAACGATACAACAACAAAAAGACTTCTAACCGCCAAAACAACATACAGACAAATGTGTTAAATGCAAAGCACTTAGAATAATTCGCTCAGTGTCCACCAGAAATAGTACTATATTTAACAGATACGAACAAAGATATGCTATAAAAATACATTTCCCTAACTAAAGGACATGATAATATGAAAGATAACCAACATAGATGCTACTTCCTAAGGACAACCACATAAATATGTATCAGGTTTTAAAAAAACGCCCATCCCCTTTGAACCCTTTATAGTCAGTAAATAAATATAATAAATGTGGAAGGACGTACGATAAAACTCAGTTCCAAAAAGTACTGAACTTAATCTGACTCAATAATAGTTATTGAAAACCATATATATATATATAGAGCCCGTTGGAATGAAGATTATCAAGAATCCTAAAACATAAATATGTTGCACCATATATCATTGTTTAAACAAAACACCAGGTTGTATACAATAAGGAACATTAACAAATTTGACAGAGCTACAATGGAAACAGTAAATATGTCTCGATTTTTAAAAAAAACAATAACTATGCTTTAGATCCATAACATAATTAATTGTCTTTTAATTTGTAGAAATATTGGAGAAAATGAAATAAAGTCACTCCAGGGCAGACTCTTTGTGAATAATTCAAACCTACGAGACTTAATATTATCACATAATTGCATTGCATCTATTGGAGAAAATTCCTTTGTTGGTTTGGCTAATTTACAATACTTGTAAGTGTTATTTATATCAATGTAAAATTACCAAAGTTCTACCTTTTTTTTATCGTGTCGTAAATACAATTATTGCTGAGGAATTTTCAAGTCGTCATGTAGACATGTAAAGCAGCATTTGTAGGACAATCATCATGTCAATTAGAATCCAGACACTCAATACAAAGCTTAAAATTATACACAAATATGCAAGCTATTTTTTTTCTTGAAATTAAGTTATTTCGCCTGTTTATTAGTAAGCTATTTATCATTTGTTTATGGATATATAATAACTCTGATTATCGTCTCTCTGCAAAATATTTTTCTGATAAATTTGGAATCTCTTGCATTATAATAATAAGGGAATATTGTATGAATGCCAATGAGACAACAAATTGCCTGTGATCAAACGACGTTGATATAAGCAACTACTATAGGTCACAGAGCAGCTTTTAACAATAAGCAAAACCAATACCGTATAGTAAGTTATATAGGCTCCAACATGACAAAATGTAAAACAATTCAAACAAGTAAACCAAAGACCTGATTTATGACAAAAATAGGACACACAGCAACTGACGACTATATTATCTGACGGTTAATTCATCATTATCCTTCAGCTTTCTTTCAAATTACTGATTCTGAAATAATGATTGTGTCGGATGTCATTTAAGCCTAAAACGTGCATTTACCATTCAATCCATGTAATGCTTGTCTTAAGTTTAAGTAGCTACAAAGGTCAATTTTAAGCTGACCTAATACAAGCATTTGGCTTGAACATCTCGTTAATATTGGAATTTCCTTTATGGTCTATATAAATAATTCATTTACTCCAATTATTCCTAAAGAAGAAGGTTTTTCCAAGAAATTTACAACGACGATGATAATCATGAATTTCAACACAAAATAAGTGAATTTTATAAACCATGACGAATACGTTACCATCCATATATGATTTAGTAAGTCTATGAAATTCAATTGTAGAAGAAGCTTTTGAAATTATATCATTGGCTCCAATCTTATAGAATTTGTTTCGATAAATCTTTAATCAGTATAGAATTCCAAACTATAAATTAGGCTATACAGTTATCATTTTCCTTCGAGCTGTATCTTGTATTGCATATATTGCATATATATCCAGTCCTGTCGATTTTGACGTTAGAGCATTCGATAAATTCCATTACAAGACATACAAAAAATCTCAAAATAATTATCGGAGACGCAAATTATCACAAATAATGTCAGAATAATAATCAGCAATTCGTTTTAATAGGATATTGTTGTCAGTCTAATTGAGACAACCCAATTGATATCCAATTACAACGTATTGGGAATAGTCTTTATCTACAACTGTATTAATATTTACAACTTTTCTGTCATACATAATTTAGTAAATTCTGCAATAAAATTATGATTCAGATGTGTTTTATTTGATTACTAGCACTTTTTAAAGAACATTCGTTGTACTGATCACACATAAATTACATTTGTAATAGTTATCTGTTATTACTTATTGCGTTCATTACATTTTCAATGTTATTTCAGAGATTTATCACATAACGAGATTGCATATATACACGACAAAGCTTTCTCTCCACTGGAAAACCTGGATGACTTGTGAGTACAGCATGTTACACTATAAGACTAGTAATGTAATATGTTGTTATTTGTTTTTCCAGTATTTTACACGGTTGTTGTCTATCTTATTGACGAATGCTCCACGTCTCTTTTTAATCATATTCATGAAAATAAAGCAACTGCAATATCACGAATAGTTAACAGCTGCTATTCCATTTAGGTAATATGCATGCGCTACTGAAACACAATTCGAATTTAGCTAATTATGAAAATGAATAAATACGGTTTAAAATTTTATATGAATATTGTGGACGAAAAGCGTCTTTGGAGTATCTCAGTTAACGCTATATTGTTAACAATGTAACGAAATTTTTACAGCTTGAAAGCAATTGTGATGATATAGTTTTTCAATAAATGATGCATTAACAAATTTTTAAGAAAGTTATTATATTATTAAAATTCAGAGAGCTTGAAGATGATTTCAGGCATGTTATTTGAAGATTTCGTTTCCAATAAGGAATTCTAGGTGAAACGATTGATGCTTATTGGGTGATAATATACGTGATTCCCGTTACCTGAAGTATCATGTTAATGTCATGATATGAGCAGATTTGACAAATATGATTTAAATAGAAATAAATGTACTTAAAACGTCTAAAATCATTTAAATATATATAACTAATGAATTTATCAACATTCTTAAATCTTGTATTTATTTTGATTTCTAGAAATCTATCTGAAAACAAGTTTCCAAGTTTACCAATGGATGGATTGCAAAACCTTCAACAGTTAAAGACATTCCATAATCAAGAACTCCGAGATCCAATCCCTGCAAAAGAATTACCAAAGATTAAAACGCTCGTGTTGTCCTATGCTTACCATTGTTGTGATTTCCTGAACCCGGCGGTAAGTTCAAAAAGAGATGAAGAACTCCGAAATCCAATCCCTGCAAATAATGCCTAACATTAAAACACTCGTATTATCCTTTGGATACCATTGCGGAGATCTATATTTGCCAATTCTTCATGGATATTTTTCTGAACTGTATCAATTCAATTTGCTATTACTGACTAGTCAGATCGACATACATCTGAAAAAAAAATATTGATAATTCATAAGAACATGATTTTATTTCTCATAAACAAAAGCAAAATAGGAGAGAAGTACGATTTTGTGTCAAATTGGCCCTAAAATCAAATGCTTTTCAAAATTTCTCAAAATATGCAAAATAAAAAGTTGAATCCATGAATTTAAATGAATCCCTGAAATTTGAATTTTTGTTCGCGTGTTGTCCAGTCATGACGTGGTATCAAATTAAATAAAATTGAAAATTTAGCCACAATTTTGACCGTCGCCCTAAATGTTGCGTAGAAAGCATCTCTCTTATAGGAAATGTATGCACAAGTATGTCTTTTGTGCATTAACATGCTTTGGAAAATATTTTTGGCAAATAATTGTGTGTTATGTTAATTAAGCCAAACATTTTAACCGGAGTTGCCTTGTTTAATTTTGGTTTTTATTGGCGTTAAATTTCTGGATAGCTGCACTTTTGTTATGCCTGTTATTTTGAAAACGCACGTCTGGCATACGAAATTATAAGCCTGGTGTCTTTGTTAAGATTCAACATGTGGGAATTCAAGTTAATTGTGTTTTTTTTTTCTTTTTTGTGTTTTTTTTTTCTTTTGTTTTGCGACATTGAATTGTCCATGTAATGGAATAGAGACTGTAACTATGTTGAGTTCTGAATGTATTTTTGTCATTGGGTTGCTGTCTCATTGACTTATACCCTACATTTTCTTTTTAGTCAAAGTATTGCTTAAGTGTTCAACAAGACTGTAGAAAGATTAATTCATAGTCAGTAAAGGCAAGTGAATCTAATTAAAACACATATACTAATTGTTTTAGAAATTTAAAGAATTGATAAAAAAAAAGGTAAGGTAACAATAGTTACGACAGCAAATAATAAAACGATTTTATATGCAAACTACTTCGACATTTTGACTACTTTCAAATTGCATTATTTCCAGGCTAATGGTGAATTAAAATTAGAAGAGCATACTAACTGGTTATTCCCAAATACATCTGAACCTCGGATTGGCAACGGAACAAATTTAAATCATCCATGTAAGATAAATTGTACCATGTTCTTTTAAAAAAAAAGTATTTTAGTAATATGATATAAGACGTTTACTTTGATATATTAAATGCACCGACGTTTGTACATAAATGTGTTATGTAGAACAAAAGACAGTTGACATTGTTATGCGTTTACATTTTTTATTTTGTATTAATATTCTTCTGGTTTCGTTTGGGTATGACTTTTCAGAAAGATTTAAAATAGTCAATATCAAACAATAGCTTTAATTCGCAGGTGTTCTGCTTTTTTTCTGTTTGAACTTTAATTGAACTCATAAACTCGGAGTATAAGTAAATATTCAGTATAGAAAAGTCCTGAATAAGATTTAAATATTAATAATATTCTTTTTTTTAGATGGCGAACAGTATGTTTTCCCATTTAATCATTACCATTATAAACAGATTGAGTACTTCGCAGCACCGGCCGATAAGGACTTCACATTCCCCGATACTCCAGATGTACAATATCCAGAGGAAGAAATATCTGTTAAATCACCAATTCAATGTGAACCTCTACCAGGTATGACATCATACCTCGGTATACACACATTTAGTAATATAAAATTGATAAACGTGTGTATACCCGCTTGTTGATGCTTGATATTACCTCGAATTTGATTATTTTCATCAATCTCGACATCTAATGTACGTGAGTTTCAGGTGGCCAGTTATAAAGTTGGCATGGGCTTCGATGGTCGAGTTACCTAAGTAGTTCAGCTACTGCATCACTAGCCTGTCATCACTGTTGTGAGTTCGAGCCCCCACGTGGCAGGTGTGCTCGACTCCAAACTAAATTGAATAGGATTGTTAGTTTTCATGCTGAAAGTCGGTGGTTCTCTGTGCACATAGGGGCTTCCTCCGCCAATACAAACTGACCGTCACGAAATAACCAATAGTGTTGAAAGTGGCATTAAACACCAATCAATCAATCAATCAATATAAAGTTGGCATTCACTTGGTAGGACAATAACTATTTGACAAGCCTTATCGTAATCAAATATTTAAAGAAAATATCATTTAACAGTGGTAATGATAACATTAGAAACAATTAAATTTCTAAACGTAAATACAGAAACATACTTTTTTTAAATCTTTAATTTTTTTTATTTTTCATGAAACATGCGAAATTACGTAATGCAGCATTAGCAAATGATAGGGCACAATGTATACACATGACGAATAACATAAAATATAAGGTATGCAAGGACACAATTGATTTGGTTAATTAATACAGCTGCATACTTTGTACTTGCATTTTATTAAAAAACATTTATAAATTTTGGACAGTCACATATACGAATAGCAGTGTATTTTGAATTAAAGTGAGAAAAGGTGCACTTGCAATAAACATTCTTGCATTTTCAAGAAGCCTATCTCATGTTTATATTTTATTTTGTAGGACCTTTTCTTCCCTGTAATGACTTATTTGGTTGGTGGACCCTTCGATGTGGTATCTGGATCGTATTTATGCTGTCTATATTTGGGAACGGCACTGTTTTATTTGTTTCAATAAGTGGCAGATCAACAATGAATGTTCCTAGATTTCTCATATGTAATTTAGCATTGGCAGACTTCTGCATGGGTGTCTATCTTGGAATTTTGGCTGTAGTAGATGCTTCAACATTGGGTAAATAACTTTGTCTAGGGGAAATTTCTATAAATCTTGTTAATACCTATTTTCTGTTGCTATAGTATTTGCAAATTTACATGTAACTTATTGCGAGCAATGTAAGGGCCGTAGCACAAAAAAGTAAAATGTTATAACAATTGACAACACTATTGAATTCAAAGCTGTGCATTTTACATCAGTAAAGAATTTACTTTAAATTTAAATATATGAAACTATTATATTTTGACAAATGTTCTCCAGAACATCGTAGCTAGTTACTAATTTGGAAAGTATGCATGAATGGTTAATACTTTGTTGAACCCTCCCACAAAAGAGGGTCTGGATCAGGTTTACAGAATAAAGAATAATGGGCAAAACGTGCAGGATTAACGGCAAAAAATACGAATAGAGAAAAATAGCAGAAAAAGATAAAGAATGGAGAATAACGGGCTGCTAAAATATAAAGAATAGAGAATAATGGGCAAAATAAATAAAGAATAGAGAAAAATGGTCTAGAGAATTAAAGAATATAGAAGTACCGCCACCCAGACCCTCATGATAAAGTATACTGCCTTATTGTTTAATGGACGTCAATTTCCTTGATAAAACAATTCAGGACTTTAAAAAAGAGAAGCAAAAGATACCAACGTGATATTGAAACTCATTAGCGAAAATTAACTGATAACGCCGTGGCAAAAAAACCAAAAAAAAACCGACCAAAGCTAACAATACGTTCTAATAGAAATTACATGTTTGAAATGTATTTTCAGGAGAATTCAAGAATTATGCAATAGATTGGCAGACAAGTCCTGGTTGTTTAGTTGCAGGTTTTCTTGGCATTGTATCCAGTGAACTTAGTGTTTTCACTCTAATGATCATAACAGTAGAGCGACATTATGCTATAGCAAATGCTATGCAATTTAATAAACGACTGTCACTGAGAAAAGCGGGTAAGGTTACAATTCCTCTCAATAACATATCTGTACTGTGTACACGGTTTCTGTTTTAATCTAATAGTCGGGTAAATTAAAGGTAGGGATAGCTACATGAGGGTCTTGATTGGCATAACATAATAGAAAATAATGGGGAAAAAGGTGAAAAATTGGCCAGAAATATAAAATAGAGAATAATGGAGTGCTAAAATATAAAAAAAACAAAATACATGTAATAAGCAGAAAAATAAAGAATAGAAAAAAATGGCATAAATAATTAAAGAATACAGAAATGAACCCAACCAATCCAGACCATCGTATATATTCATAAAAGCAAAATTTAATGACATTCCGTTTTCACTAAATTGTTGAACTTGTTAATTATACATAACAGAAAATTCTCAGTAGCACTTAAGAAACGCACAATCATAGTGGTGTTTTCCATGTTCTCAAAGTTAGAAAGCTTTAACATGGGGCAAAACTCACACTTCACTGCAAGTTCTAGTTTAGAAAAATCGAACAAAAGTATATAAGTTCGTTCTAGGACTTTCTTGGTTAAAAAAGTGGATACATTTAAACAATGTTATGAAAAGAAACTTTTAAGACCTGTTCAAATTGCCGATAATTTCTAAACAAACGTTATTCGAAATGAAGGATGCCCGTCGGAAAAAGAAATCATAAAAGCTAAAGTTCATACCCTATAAAAAATAAAAGAGATTGCGAAGGATAAACATAAACATCCGAAACTAAATTAACAAGTAAATATGATAACCATCAATATTTTAGAGTATATAAAGTGTTTCAAAATTACATTGTAGGTATTATTATGACAGTTGGATGGTTATTCTGTGGTGGTCTTGCCAGCTTGCCTCTGTTTGACATCAGTAACTACCGAAAATTTGCAATCTGTCTTCCATTCGATATAAATGACAAAGCGTCTTTAGGTAAGCTGATAAAAACTTAAGCATCACAATATTCTAATTAAATGGTCGGTTGGATGTTAGCAAACATTTAGAGAGAGAAAAAAAAACTTACATACAAATAAAGACTAACGGTAAAAACGCATGTGCGGAGACATAGCCTCTACGAATTGTGTTGTTTTAAAAACTGTAAATGAAAAACATTAGGGAAAGATACACAATTTCAGAGCAGCATGTGCAATTAAACTATATACAACTCATACTTAGTGATAGGTTGTGCGATCGGTGAACAACCTTTTGCACGATAACAACACAGCCTTAGGTGTCGATTCTGCAATTTTGTGAAATTGATATACAGATCTCTTATTGAGAATTAATAAAATGTAAGTCTGGCTCAGTCAATTACCGAGATAGAAACTCATTCAATTAACTGTGAGAACGAATTATCAATGGTACAATTTTGTTATTTTGGGGCTTTAATCAGAAAATGAAATTCACTGATATTGTATGATAAACTACATCACTGCATGTCAACATACGGCTTTAACAATGGAAACTTTTTATCGTAATGAAGTTAATATAAAATCACATCTAAAATAGAAACCTCTACCGATATAATTTAAGTCGATATTGTAAAACGAAAAGTAATATACAAGACGACAACAATCAATTTTAAGGTTCTTGACATTGAAGCAACCATATAACAGAATGGCATTGACATCATTCAAGGAAAATCTTTGTTTAGTCTGTAATCAATAACAAAGGTATTAAGGTAATAAAAACAACACTTTAAAACTATACTGAACGTGGATGTAAAAGCAGAACATCACCTTTTGTTGCACATTTCTTTTTTCATATAAAAACCAATAAATATACAAATCCAATTTATAAATATGTATGTGACAATATCACATTAAGTCAAATTTATTTAACACTCTCAACTACATTGAAAGTGGTGTGGTTTTCATTTAAATGTTAGTCCCTCTTATATGTCAATTTATTTAAATTAAGAATATTAAACTATCACCATCCTACAACACAAAGTCTATATTGAATATGCAAGAATTTATGGCTTTGCTAGAGAAATACAATTAATTCAAATCAAACATTCATACTACATACCATGTTTTTTTTGTTCTTTTTTTTTTGGGGGGGGGGGGGGGGGGGGACGGGGGAGTTTATGCATTTTGTGGATGGAGGGGTTTCGCTGAATTTGGCGTTGATGGCATATCTATGATAATGTCTGTGAAATTTATTTACCTGTTGTTTAGACTTTTGGCTGTTTATTATAACTTGACATACAGTATTAAAGACAGCGGTTAATTGGGAAAGACCATATATTGACCTTGAAATGTCTTCTTTTTTATGTTGGGTTGCTGTCTTCTACCTTTGCCTAACATATTTTTTTTCTGATGTAAAAAAAATAAGAAAATAGCATGGAAATAAACACTTATAATTTGGTTTCAACTTTTCAGACAACACCATACAAATGACATTTTTGTGTTGTATAGCAGTTCAAGTTGTTGCAGCGATCAATACATTTTTGATCGTCAAATAACATATATGAATCACTCCAAATACTATAAATAATCAATGTATATAAAACCCCGCATCGAGGAAGCGGGAGACCTATAGTTTTCACTTTTTCCGTCAGTCTGTTATTTTTTTTTTTTGGTTACGCAAAAAACTCCAAAAGTATGGGAAGGAGGCCAATGAAAATTTCACAGTGTTGTGTATCATAATTATATGTAGATGTGCATATTAATTTTTGTTGGCTCATTAATTTTGGAAAAATTTGTTTTTTATTAAAAATTTTGAATAACATCTTTAGTGCTAGGATTTCAATAAAAACTGATTTGTTGCTAAAACTTTCTACACCAAAATGATTCTTTGGTTAAAAATCGATTTTTGTGAAAAAAAACTGGGTTTAAAACATTACTTCTGCTTTTGTTAAAAAGACAAATATTTTGAGAAACTTTTTTTCTGTGCAAGGATTACAATATATATTGACGTATATGTATAATATGGTTTTCCAAATTCATTCCCAGCGTCAAATTAGCAGTAAAAATATAGTTTTGCCTAATTGCAACAAAAATCAATAAATAGGTACAATATACTACTCCAAATTGATTCCCAGTGTCCAACAATCAATCAATCAATCAATCAATCAATCAGTCAAATTTGAAGTAAGAACTTGGTATTTGTTAAAAAATAACAAATGTTGAGAAACATAGTTTTATGATTTTTTTTTTTGCATTTAGGATTTCATTGAAAATTTATACATAAATACAAGGTGTCAAAACAGTATCATTAAACCATCATTTTTTTTTTGACGGTATACATAAACAAACAATGTCCGCTCAGATTTAATGAATTTACAACGTTTTCCTGGTTTGTTTTATTTATTCTTTGATACACTAAATTTTTCATAATTTTATAAAGCAAACATCTTCTCAGTAATTAACTACAGTAAAATACAGGATATTACATGAAATTGGCTTGATTTTTATTGATGTTTTATGTGTTTTTGTTAGATTTATTGATCAATTATTAGCATTTGTCCCCAAAATAATTATTTTATATAACAAAGTTTATGGATAGAGTCATCCTTATTAAACATGTTAAGCAATCAAACAAAATTGCTTCACTTCAAGTTATCAAAATGCCACTTGAGACCATTGTTTCTTTAGCAAATTGTGTATCCAATCTAAAAGATTCAATTATTCTGGTAAAGTTGACATTAGTTGCCTTTTTCGTGTTCTTTATAATCAATTTGCTGATTGATAGTTGCTTTTAAACGTCAAGTGGCAATTCTTTCATGTACATTTAAGACAATTAATTACTTTGAGTTTTGTTGCTCTTTCCACTTTTCTTTATACCAAGATGTAGTGCAATATCCTTACATCAAATATTAAAGCTTTGTATTTTTCAATTAAAGGAGAAGGTATGATAAAGCCACCTTTTTACCTCTGAATTCGAAACCAAAAGATAACACCCTTTCGATATTCATCAGACTTAAGTCTGTAAGATATCATATACATGTACATGACTGTATAATTTGTATTTATGTTTAAACTTATTGAAATTTGTCAAACATATTTGCCATAGGGCTTCCAACTTCTTGCATTTAATTAAATTTTCAAAAATGCCAAAATAGTTTCATTTTGAGTACTTGTGATTTAAAATGTTTAGATATGTGACAAGGTCTGACGCTATTAAAACAAATTTTGTTACAAGATTTTTCGAACATGTTAAAGTTTTTGGGTAACCCTTCACTCATACTTAATTTGTTCAAAAGAGTATATGTACATTTGAGCATTGTAGGGCAAATAATATTATGTCAACTTCGGAAGTATCCATATTATATCATCCTATTTATTTATCAGTAAAAATATCATGATTCTATAAGGCAATTTGTGGGCTAAATAATGGATGTATCATACCTGCTCTTTTAAATGTTAACCTCTTTTTGTAAAAATTACGTTAGATCATTTGTTTATTCTATTTAATCCGAATTAAAATTGCTTCTTTAAACAATTATGAATTAAACCGTGTGATTATGTGTAATGTGTATCCATAGTTTAAACTTTAATTTGTATTTGATAAATTTCGGTTGTTATTTTTTAAATTCTATTTTTAGGATTTGTTTGTTTCATTATGCTGTTTAATGCTACATCCTTCATTGTCATTGGTGGATGTTATGTCAGAATGTACGTGTATATATTGAAGTCTCAAGCATGGAATTCGAAAGACTTCCGGGTAGCAAAACGAATGGCTGTTTTAGTTGTCACCGACTTTCTTTGTTGGGCACCGATCATATTCTTTTCTGTTTCTGCTGCGTTTGGATCACCATTGGTAGGACTCAATGAAGCAAAAGTACTTACCATTTTCGTCTTACCTTTGAATAGTTGTGCAAACCCCTTTCTTTATGCAATATTTACAAAACAATTTAAACGTGACTGTGTGAAGTTGTGTAAAAGAATAGAAGAATCGTCAATTTCAAGAAGCTTTTCAAATTTCAATAGCCTACGTCTTTCATTCGGTATAAATGCGTCTTGTCGTAATTCCGAATTGCATAGTCCATTCCATGAAAAACGAGGAAGCAGTCGAAGTAATTCTGATAGTTTTGCCAGTAGCTCTGTAGGGATCCCGAACCAAAACGGAGAAATAGATAATATAAATGGTCAAAAATCGTATACAATATCAGATAGAGTCTTTCAAAATCTGGAGTTAAAACATGGAATCGATAGAAACAAACGTAAACCACTCCTTCATGCAAATAATAATTCACAATTTTCACCGGACAAGGAATGTGCATGTCAGAGATGTAAGAAACAAAATACAATTTCTGTTGGGTCCGGAGCAACAGATACTGAAATTGTCATTCATTTAGATAGAAACGGGGAAAAGGTTATTCCGAATGACGGGCCACAACAGTTGAATGGAACAAACCCGAATGATGTTGCACTAAATGATGACAGTGATAACGAGACGTCAAAGTCAGACGATAAATTATTGTCTAAAATCACAGATGAATTATGCACTGAATGTGGGAATAACAGGAATTCCATTCATTGTAAACATTATTGTCAAATTGATAGAAAACTTAAAGATACATCTGTACGACCTAAATCTAATATAGCTATGGTAGGAAAAATGCAGCATACAAAATCTGCACCTTTTGTCCCGTGTCGTTCAAATGAAAACATCTTAAAACTTTCACAGCTTTCAGCTAATAAAGACAAAACATCACACATAAATGAGTGGAGGAAGTCGTCGCATTTATCATTCCTGTGGAGAAATTCATTAGATCTAGATACCGGTATGCCAAAATACAAATCAAACAGTTTGGTTGAACTTGCCAGATTACCAAAAACATTTGATAGGTCACCTTCGAAAAGACGTAGTCTTTCCTCGAGACATGAAGGCTATCTTTTATTCAAAAACTTAAAGAGAGATTCAGCGTATGAAAATGAGGAAGAAATGTTTGAATATGAAGAAAATCTGAAAGATTTCCCCGTACAGTTTTCACAGAATAAATACTCAAATTGTGATTCGGAATATTCACAAATTGCCTTGGAAGAAGAAACTGATCACGATATTCAACACTCTGAAGTGCCTAAAGTTCAGGAGGCATACAGAAACAAAACAGACCTTTCGAACAGTAATGATGATGATGATGTTGATGAAACACAAATGTTATTAACTGAGTCAAATGTGACGAACAATACACTTAAACGAGACGTGTGTGATAAGGAAAGTGGATTTAGTTCAGACAGCCAACTTCTCAAATGTTAACTTGTCTCATGGGTTTATTTCACAGAACGCTCAATTTTAACTTGTTTTCTAAATACATTGAATGTATATATAATTACCAATATTAACATATATTTTTGTTTTCGTTTAAACTGATTTATTATTGCCTTGTCTACAAAACTTTGATTTTCTTTTAAGACCACTTTTCAAATATAACTTCAAAAATCTGAAAAGGTGGCAAAAGACATCAACGGACAATCAAAATGTCATACGTCGCAAAAAAAATATCATGAATGAAAAAAACAGGAAAACGAAAAAAAAAAACCCAAACAACAAGTCCACCAAACACTACATAGAAATATACAATATTAAGTCAATGTCAGAAAAATATAAACTTTTTTGTATGAGGCTAAGAAACTGGGGACAGGCGAGGTTTTACCGAGCTCTTCCACAGTTTTGTGCCGAATGTTATGCGGGAAAGAGGGGGAAGGGCAGACTAAGCAGTTGCCTCCCCTCTCCCGCTGAAAGTTTATAAGTCGCTCTGCTGTTTACATAGTCTCTGTTCGCTATCTTAACTACGACAATTTGGGGGACTGTCGTTCACCTTCTTTCGTGGCCTCCTGGTGAATAAAACAAAGATGTCTATATATGTTTATTTCGAGTCCAACCATAAGAGTAATTAGTCAAAATACATTGATATGAAATAAGAGTTTGATTCTTAAAATGAACTAGAATTAACAATCATCAAAATACTTTATTAATTAATTAAAATAGTTTATCATGATATTTATGGTAACTTTAATAAAGAAAGATTTTTATTATAAAATTGTTACATTAAAACATTACTAAGGTAACGTTTAATTTTTCATTTAACAAAAATTATAAGTTTACGAACCTGGTGAATAAAACAAAGATGTCTATATATGTTTATTTCGAGTCCAACCATAAGAGTAATGTTTGATTCCTTAGGGTTTCCTATTTTAAACCCTGAGAACACGTGCTGGTTGGACTTGTTTTATTCACCAATCAAAATGACTTTTAGAATACTTATTTTTATGAGGACGGTTTCTATTGGTTAGATCTCTTTTTACCTTATTCACATTTTTACATAATTTGGGGTTACTGTTTTTAATTACTTAATACTGACTTATTACCTTTTACGACCATTAGGGAAATCCGATTATTTTGGTTGGATAGAATTCTATGTGAACAATAGAAAAGAATTAATATATTTGCTAAAGAAAATATTTCTAAGAGTTTAAGCTGTCAAACCTTATTTATATTCTAAGTGTCAAATAGGAAGAATTTCACATCAAATACTTATATATCAAAAGTTACATAACATTATAGACATTGTCGGAAAATATAAAATTTATTTGTATGAGCTTCAGAAACAGGACGAAAAGCGAGGCTCGCCGAGCTTTTCTCCTGTTTCGCAGCGAGTACAAATAAATTTTATATTTTCCGACAATGTACATATATTGTTTTTATCCTGAAATTTACACCCAACACTTGAAAATTTAGTTGTTAAAATCTAAATCATTGTCTCTAATTTTTTAAAGAAATCAACATAGTTTAAACGCGGACCGCGAAGAGGACCCCAAAATGAACTGGTACGCAAAAAGAAATATCCACATTACCGCTTGCTTAACATGGAAGAGGGGTAACATGAGACTTTATTTGTACAAGCAAAAGTTTATTTGTGTACCTGGTATCTGTACAATAGTTGGCTGATTGCAGGATAAAACTAAAGACCAAGCAACACGAACCGGTCCGAAAGGTGATCTCATGTGCTATGGAGTGATTAGCTATCCTGATCTGCATGTGTCTACCAATTATAAGCCTCAAAAATGTTTAGCTCATTGTGTTCTTGAAGACTGCTTATCCGATGAATACTAAATGCAACAAAAAGGTACATCGTCATTTGACTTCTGTAAACAAAATTCATATACTTAGGCTCCTTAAGTAAATATGATTTTTTGTCAAAAATTTACAGAACTTACAAATAATATAGAACTAACCGGATCCTAAAAGAGATGCATGAGATACTAAAACGAATTCAAACTCATCAGTCCCAAATAATCTGACAACGCCATGGCAAAGAAAGATCAGAAGACAAACAAGTTACTGTATACAAGACACAACATACAAAACTGAAGATTCAACGATGATTGTTTTGAATATTTTAATCGGAATGTAATCGATATCATTTAGTAATATCAGATTAAAAGTATCGGAAGATGATAACTCTGCAATCAAACTTGTATCATGTGGAGTCTGTTGTCTACCTAAACCTTTTCCACAGCAACACCGTCTCGTTAAAACTCACTGTAATAAATAAAAATGATTTTCTAGTTTTATTTTCTACACAAAAAAATCTGTTTTCTACCCTGACCGTTTTCGCCAGCAACACCTTCTGGTTAAAATTCACTGCGCGAAATGAAACTGATTTTGATTGAAATTTTGTAGGCTTTATTTTCTACACAAAAATTTATTCCAGTTAATCTTTTTTATTTGTTTTCTATGCCATGCATATAATAGCAGAGGAACATTAAGCATTTTGATATATGTGACTGTCCGTCCAGTATAAGTTTAAACTTTTTGTTTAAGGTAGGTTAAAGTTTAGATTTATGGTAGTTTGTGATATTTCAATTTTAAACATGATAGTAGACATATTCACTATGTTTAACAAATATATCATATAAGGGTTTTTGCCAACATTTCATTCATTACCGGACATGAAAATGTGTCAAAAATTCGAGCAGACACATATTTTATTTTGCAATTATCTTATTTTTTTGTGGTAAATTGTTTCTTCTGATTTACTGTTTAATTAAATAGAACTTCTTCAGAGAAACCTATGGATGTTTAATAACTTCAAATTGATGGAACTTTGACTGCAAGCCAAATGTTTTAACTATTCCAAATAAGCAGCTGTTAAAATATTTGAAACCTAGCTTCAACTTTGGCAGACAATACAAATAGCAAGATGATGAAAATGCTCGAATTAATGAAATAGTTTAATACTTCAAAAATAATTTGAGTGAACTAGAAAATCCGAAATAGCTTCCTATAACCATGATAACGCAAATATGTGCATTCGATAAATAAAAAATCAAAGCAGGCCACCAATATAGAACATTATCTAACATATAATTCATTGGGATATAATTGAAAACAGCTCCTAGAATTATCATCCTCATCTCCTTATTTTTATAACATAATTTTTTTTTATCCGAGCTCGCAACAGTAATGAGTGTTATGGAAATATTATAATGTGAGTGGGACATTAAGTCCTAGGGAGACATCTTCTTGTTTACAGATTACATGAGCACATGTCTTTGAGATCATCACGGGCCAGTTTAGTGGTTGGACAAAACCATAATATTAAAGCGAAAAAGACAAACGACAAAAAAAAACAGCCTACGAAAAATTACGTAGAAAACTAAAAACTGAGCAATACGAAACCTTTCAAAAACTGTGGTTGATCCGAGTCAGGTGCTTCGAAAGGGTCAGCAGATCCTGCTGCATACGTGCCGCAAATGATTTTTTTCTTTGTGTATATAAGCTATCAAAATTATTTAAGGTGTTTTATAGTGGTACTGTGTACACCCTTTTGGTGTATTGCTTTTCAAGGATGAATATGTTTCTGACTTCATACACATTGAGTCCCAAACTTTCATGAAAATAGTTATTGTAGGAATACATGTTCTACGCACTTTTATTATATATACGTTTTGGTTTTGACATATATTTTTTTCAAAGCTTTGATCAATTTCTGTTAATAAATATACTAATCTGCAGTTTGATATTTAAAAGTTTAAAGAAACCTTGATTCTACAATATCCTTTTTCTTGGACAAAAACTCTAATTTTGTTGAAGGCTGTACGGTGACCAATAGTTGTTAACTTCTATATCATTTAGTCTCTGGCGGAAAGTTTTCTCATTAACAATCATACCACAACTCCTTAATTTTATATATCTTGAGTGACATTGTATCCATGGAAAATACTTTTGCAATAGTTCTTTTATTATGACTGTTTTGATGTATACCAGTTAAGCTTTGTTTATTACTTGTGCTCGGATCGTTTCCGCTGAACGTTTAAGCAACTTTAACGATCGTATTTGCATCAAAGGATGTAATTGTTATGTGCATTAAAATCTTTTTATGTTAACTTGTAAAACAGTCTGACATGTAGTTCCTATCTGAAATGTCAATGGATAATGGATTAACTACGTATGACATTTCTATTTGTTTTTTATATTTAACATATGCAATGAGACGCAACAATATTGACATTTCTCATCTTACATATTCCTTTTTCAAAATTAATTTAAGCAATAAAAAATTGTTTTACAATTAAATGTAATAAACCATTTTATGAACTTTAGAAATAAGTATTGCTAAATTTTCCGTATTGACTTTCACATATCATACAATCTGAAAGGTTCGTTCTTCTATCAATGTGTTCATATAACATATTTATAAATCATTAATAAATTCATTTACTGTACAAAACCTGTAGTAAAAAAGAAATAGCGAAACCAATGTATAAAAGTGGTTCATAATTATTCTTCTTCTAAAATTTGATTCGGACAAAAATGCGCTGATATGAAAAGAAAATAGTGAATGCATCAAATTAGAAATAATCAAAATGTTGAACTGTTATCTTTTTTAACAACATATGTATCAAAAAAGCGTCTCAAATCACACTTCATAAGTTCTACGTTCAACACCACGAATTTTTGCGTCATTAGAGCATACCAGCTAGATTTTTAACTCTAGACATCATTGTCCTCTGTTTACCCAATCATCATCAGCCAGCTGAAGTGGATATAAGCAATTATAGGCAACCATACGGCCTTCAACAATGAGACAAACACATACCGTTTAGTCGGCTTTAAAAAGCCCCGACATGAAAAATATGAAACAATTAAAACGAAAAAACCAACGACCTACATGTAATTTATAACAACAATTTGACAGATATGAACCTACGACAACCACTGAACTACAGCTCCTGGCATGGGACAGGCACATGCAGAATGCTGCGGGGTTAAAAATGTTTGTGAGCACTAAACCCTCCCCGTAACATAAAACAGTGGTGTAACAGCACAACATAAGAACAAACTGTAAAAATAAGTAGCAATT